GAGAGACAGGCCTGCACTTTCCCAGCAAGCAGTGGGACAATCCCTGTAGCCTCTATAATTTGCTTCATAGAGAGAGACCGTCTCATTCATTTGACCTTAGCCCACAGGATAGGCTGTCTTTATGCCTTGTCTTTTGGCGGAGCTGAGCGACTACCTGTTTGGCAGAGGCTTGCTATGGGATCAAGAGCCAGGCTAGGCCATGAATCAGAACCATTCAGGTAGCCCTTGGCTGCTCTGCCCCTCCCCATTGCCCAGCTACGGATCATTTGTAGCTGGCTAGGGATGGTTGTCTCTGGCCAAGTCAGCTGTGTGCACAACCTCCCTAGGCATGGGCCCCTGTTCTTGATGAGGGGGCTTTTCTGCAGGGGTAGCTCTCTGCTTTGTGCATTGTCTACTTCTCAGGTGACAACTCCCACTGGCCCAAGGCTTTGTCTAGGCAGCTCAGCACTCAGGGTACTAGTTGGCAGGGTACTAGCTTCTCTGTTGCAGATCCACAGGCCTTTAGGTCAGTTCTCTGGCCTGAGCTGCCCCCGATGGGTAAAGCCTTTAACTGAGCTCTGCATGGGACAGGACATTCGCATGGTCACCTCTGCTCTGTGGGGATGTTCTCTACCAGCGGCAAATGATTGCAAATGGCAAAGACTTGTTCTTTTTGTAGGACCGTGTCTGGTCTCGGAAGACATCCTGGCAGGCTGTTGTCCTAGTTTCCAGCTGTACCTTTCTGCTGAACTGGCCACATCCAATTCACCCTCATTCCCTGTGGCTGTACTTGTTAGGGCCTGTCTTTAAGGCACTGTTACTTTAGGGGCATTGAAGGCCTGACCTGCTGGGCGAACTGAAATTTAATGTCTACCGATACTGTTCTTTGGTGAAGACAGGGCTAGAGGGATGCTAAATAAAACACATTAGCCCATTATATACCCAGATCCCTAGGATCCATATTGAACAGAGACATTGTATTTGAGAAGGTGTGTTAGTTTGGGTTGACTAGAGAAACAAATCCAGAGACACTCATATGTGTATAAGAAAGAGCTTTATATAAAAGAGCAATTGAATATTGAGAAAACATCCCAGCTCAGTCCAGATCAAGTCCTTAAGTATGATATTAGCCCATATGTCTGATACCAATCTATAAAATCCTCTTCAGACTTACAAAACACATACAATGACACCGAACACAGGAAGATCACAGGCCAGTGGGTGCAAAGTCTTGTGGATCCAGTGGTGGTGGAAGCATCTCGGCGCTGGCGTGGGTCTCCACGTGGCTCCTCCAGCTCCAGGACTCTGGTTCTGTCAATGTAGCTCCAAGTGGCTTTTCAACAGGAACATGAAGCAGAGAGAGGTGTGTCTGGCCTCCAGAGAGCTGTTTATCTCCACCGTGCCTCCAAATGCTTGACAGACTGGACTCCACCCCTTCACAAGTTGACGGATTATGTAACTGCCACAGATGGATTTTATTGCGTTTACTTGCAGTTGGAATTCTTCCACCGATAATCCACCCCTGGCTGTATTCTATCAAGGGCACGGCCTTAACACTGGAAAACACTCAGGGTTTCTAATGTGTCAGGAGTTTATTAAGCTCAGGAATTTGTTCTGTTAACATCCTCATCTTCAAGGTTGATTGCACAATCAAGTGAACTCTTTAAAAAGAAAACTTCTCGCCCCCCTTCCCACCCCCATGCCTCTAGTGGGGTCCTGCAGTTTTCTGGGCTCCTGGCCGGCTTGTTAACTGAGGAGACACCGTGAACAGGGACTGGGCTTCCCAGTGACTAGGGGCTGAGAGACAAAGAACAGGCCAGGAGAGACTCTGGGAGACACGGACTTGATTGTTGATGGGAAGCCTACTGATGCAGGTGCATAGTACTGGGACCCTGGAGAGTGGCAGGGTTTGGTCCACACTGCTCTGCTCCCTTGCCCCCTCCCCTCCCCCCTCACATGCATCCAAAGATCCTTACTCTGTCTAAGGTAGGAGGAGGGGTGGGGAGGGAGAGAGAGAGTCCTGAAGCAGCTGCGCTGGCTGCAGGCTCCCTGGAAACAGTCCCTCCAAGGTTGTCACATGAATGCCAATGAAAATGGCCTTGGTGGTCATGTGTCAGCCTTTGGTGATCTGCGTGGCCATGCTATACCTTGACGGGGAGAGGTAGTCTGGGGGTAGGCATGACTGATCATGAAGGGGTGCTCATGTACCCTACACTGCCGACCAGACTGCTTTCTGCTTGCCAAGACCTACCTCGACCCCACTCCCAGCGCAGTGCTTATTGTACAGACCGCCACTGCCGCAGGAGCGAGAGTGGGAGACCTTCCCCCAAGGTTACCTGGGCCAGAGGTTCTCTGACCCGGGTCCTTGGCCCCCTGCATCAGCATCAGCACTTGAGTAATGGTTTAAAACCGACAGATTCCTGATTCTTATTTCAGACCCATGGAATAGGAAGAGATGGGGGGAGTAGTGCCTTTTAGACAAATGTCCCAGGGCACCCCGACAAGTGTCCTGCGTCTGCTGTAACAAGGCCGAACTCATGTGGCAGAAGTTTCTCCTCTCGCAGTTCCGGCAGCCAGAAACCTGCAGTCACTTTTACTGACATGCCCGCTCTCCCCCTACAACCGGGAGGGAGACTCCGTGTCTCGGCTGGGCTCGGCCGCCTCGCTTTCATTTCTGTCAGTGGTAATTTTGTTTGCTCCTCTTCTACGTGCTGTGCGGGGTGGCTGCTTCCTTCTAATAAGAACACTGTGTTTACGTTCAGGGAACACACAGATGATCTAGATTAATCTCCCCATCTCGAGAGTCTTGGCTTAATCACATCTTCAAAGATTCCTTTTCCCAAATAAGATAACGTTTACAAGTTTCTGGTTTTAGGACCTGATACTTTGGGGAGGAAATTGTTCAGAGCCTCCCACACACACGAATGTGAAAAACATGGACCGGGTCCACATTCTTAGGCTTCTTTTATTTTATTTTCCCATCTGCACTTGAGTCAGCTCTGAGCCAGAGTGACGCAATGTGTGCAGAACAGTGTGGTGCTCTCGAGGGTTTCCAAGGTTGTGGTCTTTCTGGGAGCGGTTTGCCAGGCCTTTCTTCTAAGGCACCTTGGTGTGGGTTTGAACCCCCAACCTTTCAGTTCATAGTAAAGTACTGAACCGTGTGCACCACTAAGGGACTCAAGGTGGAGTAGGCAGAGGAAACTGGAGCCTAGAGAGAAGTAGCCAACTCACAGTCACTTAGCCTGAAATCATTTTTTAAAATTTGGAACCCCAGGGGTTTTTTTAATTAAAAAAATTTAACAGTTTGATTGACATACAGTTCACATACCACACAGTTCAATAGTTGAAACATATTAAAAAGAGTTGCGCAATCATTACTACAATCCAGCTTAGGGCATTTTCTTCTTCCTTGTACTTACGATTAGCTTCCCATTTCCCCCTAATTCCCCTGCAAGAGACTATTAATCCAGTTGCTGTCTCTATCGATGTACCTATCCTGGATTTCATATCGAGAAAAGCATATGAAAACAAAACACACACACAAAAAAAGAAAACCCTCTAAAAATTAAACCAATTCTCAACATCAAACCCAACAACAAGAACAAAATAAAACATGGCAAACCCTCAGCTGAAATGATCGCAGAAAATAAAAAGAGTTAGCGCAAACCCAGGTTCAAAGGGGTGAGCAAAAGATGAAGTGTTCCGTTTTAACCCGCATCGTCCACTCTCCAGTGCACTCTGTCGGGCAGCAAGGCTAGCCACACCCCTGGCCAATGGTCTGCAGGGATTCACTGGACACTTAATCCAAGTAAGGATCCTGCCAGTGGATTCTGTGCCCTCACGGTCATTCGTAGCCTCTGCAAACCAGGTGCTCAGGATTTCTGATCATTTACGACCCTTGATCACACTGGCTGGTGCGCTCCTTCCATGTCACTCGCTCAGATGGCTGCTTGTCTTAGCCAAGCTTTTAAGACCCCAGTCACTATTCTTTCTGGTAGCCGGGCACCGTCTGATTTCTTCCCCACACTTTGCTCTAGCACCCCAATCTTCAGTGCTGTCTTCATGAGGGCAGGCATCGAGGGCAAGAACCCACGATTCTTGATTCCAAGGCCTTCTCTTTCTGGTGCTGGGTTCTAGGAATATACAGAATGCTTCTTATTTATTGTTCTCAGCCAATTACACACATGACCTCAGCCCTCATCCAAACAATCCTATGAAGTAGGCAGGGCCTATATTATCTTCCACTTTACAGATGAGAAAATGAAGGGGCAGGGAGCTGACACAACTCACCCAAGGTGACAGAGCTAATTAATGGTGGAGCTGGGATAGTTAACCTGATGGCCAAATCTTTATTTGTAGGTTCAGCAACCTCCAACTAGACTGATCTTGAAGCTACCTGCGGGTTACCTTCTCGGATCATTTGCCCTCGTCCCCCGGTTGGTGCAGTCAACACACTGGCTTGCTAAACAACAACGAAAGGGTTGGAGGTTTGAGTAAAGGCTTGACAGCCAACCCCTGGAAACCCAACTCAGACACACCTGGGTCGCAAGTGATGCTGCAGCGAATGGTACTGGTCAACAGGATGGCGCGAAGCTTCTTGGGAAGGCAAGATGACTCCTCTAACCACTAGCTGACCTCATGCTTCGAATTCTCCACTTCCTTGGTGGACAACTTTCCTCATGCTGCGTGAGGATGCACATTCTCGCCTCAGGCCCTGGGCATAATGGGAGCCAAGCAGGCCCTGCCACAGTGGGGCGGGGTGGGATCCTAATGGGTTTCTTAGGCTAATGGACTGGAAGGCTCTTCTTTAATGGGCTGCTGAAAGGCTGGAGGTGGGGCCGCTCCATCTACACCTTGGGTACATATTTGTTCCAGGCTGTGACTCACTCCCTTGGAGTGAGACGTTGAGACGTTGACTGCCCCACCTCCCTCGGCCGCCTTATAGTTTCCTTCCTCCCAAGGCAGACTCTCAATGTGTGGAGCATCCCTGCGCTCCAGTCTTCCCCACAGATCCCAAGGCCATGGCAGCCCTGGCGGCTGGATTGTCTAAGAATCGGGCTACGGCCAAAGGTCTCGGCTCCAACCAGAGAGCCGTGAAATACTTAGGGCAGGACTTTGAGACCCTGAGGCAACAGTGCCTGGAGTCAGGGATCCTGTTTAAGGACCCAGAATTCCCAGCCTGCCCTTCAGCCTTGGGCTACAGGGACCTTGGACCACATTCCCCACAAACTCAAGGCATCATCTGGAAACGGCCCACGGTAAGCAGGTGGGCTTGCTGGGGAGGGTTATGGTGGGCAGAGGGCTCTTGCTTGGGTCAGACGGAGTGGATTTTGAGGTCCAGGCTCTGGATCAGAAGTTCCGGGAGCTCATACTTTAAACACCTAGCCTTGCCCCACAAAAAGACAAAAACAAAACCAAAAAAGAATAAACTCCCTGAGTGAGGTATAGAGGGAAGCACGTGTCCCGGTGCTTGGAACAAGACACACTGGATTTGAGCTGCGGCTCTGCTAGGCTGTGTCTGGGGAGCCATGGGCAGGCTAACCCCCCGGGAACCTCAGTGTACTCATCTGTAAACTGCTGCTGCTACTGTTGCGAGTTGCCGTTGAGTGGACTCTGATTCATGGTGACCCTGCGGTCAATGTTGTGTGCCGTCCACACAACACTGATGTGCTTGAGCCCATGGTTGCAGTCGCTCGTGGTTGGGGTGTCTTCCAACCCAGGCAGAGGGGGGCTCGTGGTTAAGCACCGTATTGGACACTATTCCGTTGTGATCCATCAGGGTTTCACTGTGCAAGTAGCTCTCCAGGCCTTTCTTTCTAGACCAGCTCAGTCCACAAGCTCTGCCGAAGCCTGTTCCCCAGGGATCACCCCGCTAGCATTGAAAACATTGGTGATATTTGTCAGGTTTGCTGTGAGGGCTAGAGACAAAGTCAGGTCACAGTCCCTGGCACATAGTAGGCACAGAATACACAGTAGGGATTATGGCGTAGGTCTCCTAGGTCAGCCCACAGGGGAACAAATCGATGCTAAATGGAATCAGTCTTGGGGCAAATGGTGACGTCCTCATTGCTGAAAGGTGCAGGCTGCCCTAATGTCATGAATTGTCATTGTTCCACGGGGGCTGGTGGGTAGGAAGGTGGGGGCCTGGGACCCATGGTGCAGGTGAAAGCCAGGGCTCCCGGGTATTGCCCCTTGTATTAGTCTAGGTACTTTAGAGAAACAAATCCACAGCAACTCATGTATAAGAGAGTTTTATGTAAAGAAAGTGTGCATCACGAAAACACCCCAACCCAATACTGCCCAAGCCCACAAGTCCAACATTAACCCATTAACCCAACACCAGTCCACAAAGTCCTCCACCTCACAAAACA